ACTACCCAATTAGTTAGGTTTGTTATAGATTTTAATTAGATTATATGTTGGAGACAAATTAATAATATTTTTAAAATGTTTGAATGATATAAGTAAATTCGGTTGTTTGATAATGTAGATTTGATAGCTTTACAATGTAGAGATTTTGCTGGTTTGGTTACGGAGAAATTTTAGGGATTTGGTAGTTTAATAATGTGATTTATAGAACGTGGGTTGTTGAAAACTGGATGGGTAAAATGGAGAAATCATAAAGAACAATATGGACATGAAATGTGCGGAGGGGTAAATATGGAATTCTACCCCTCCCCTAAAATTCAGGAAATCAAGTATGGTCATATATCCAATTTATGAAAATTTTAGTCATTTTTCATTATTATGATATTCCGTAGGTAGCCATTTCTTAGGATTTCCCTTATTATTTCTTTAACTTGTTTCAATTGGAAAAGAAAAAAAACAGGTTAAGTAATCATTGGTTGGTTCTTGTTCTCTTAAAATTTTATATTAAAATTAAAATTTTAAAAATTATATTTTATATTAACTTTTTTATATTCAATATGCAGTTGTAAGTCAAAAAAAATTAAAATAATACTTTTTATTTATGTTTTGGAAAAATCGAAAATAAAAAACTAGATTTAATTGTTGCCAAAATAAAAAACTTGATGGCTGAAATTCACTGTATTTTTTTTAACTGTTTTTAGTTAAAAAAAAACTGATTTCACACTCCCAAAACAAAATAAATTTAAACTAATAAAACTAAATGTACTCATGGAAATTTTTATGAGTAAAATCGTCAGAAATGCCTTTCTCAAACATTTAAAAAAAAAAGATACAAGAAACAAAAATATTATCAAACAAACTCTTAAAAATTAATATAATTTTATGGACCTATTTCGTTGATGTATCTTCAACACTGTTACTTTCAAGAAATTATAGTGCTCAAAAGAAGTCTACGCTCTGTATAGATAACATCATACGATTTCGATTCTATTCTATTCTATTGGCCTTCAGAATCAGGGTAATGATTAACAAAGACAATCGAGAGCATTCGTATTTCATAGTCAGAGGTGAAATTATTGGATTTATGAAAGACGAACAACTGCGAAAGCATTTACCAAGGACATTCGTATTTCATATTCAGAGGTGAAATTCTTGGGTTTATGAAAGACGAACAATTACGAAAGTATTTGTCAATGATGTTTTCATTAATCAAGAACGAAAATTAGGTGCTCGAAGATGATCAGATACGGTCTTAAACTCAACCATAAACGATGTCGTCTAAGGATTGACGGATGGTTCCATATGGATAAATTTGTTACCGTAAGCAAATATAATTAAATAGATGAAATTTGAAATACTATAACCGTAGAAGGAAAATCGAACGATGATTAAAAAAATAATCTTTTTAAAAATAAATCATGCACTAAATTTATCAAATAAATAAACAATAATAATAATATTAAAAAACAAAGTGTTTATAGAGTTTCAATATTATATAAGTGACCTTTTTTCTAATTTGTTCGAGTGTCCACTGTCCACCTCACCTTTTCAACAGCAAAAATAATAAAAACTAGTGTTTTATATAACCTTAGCATAATTAAATTAAAATTGTGAACTTGAAAAGACTTGGTTAATACCTATATTTCCGACAAAAAGTCATGAATTTGAATTTAAATTTTCACCCTTACAGATTGTTGTACTAAAAAAAATATAATTATGAAAATTATTAAACACCTTAAACATACATTTTTATCATAATTAAAATTAAACTTAATCGTTAGAGAATGTTGGTAATTTTTGTGTCCACTATCTGGTTCGTGGGACTTTCGAATTAGAGGAATCGCGAATCAGTGTCTTATTTATTCTTAATAAAAGTTTATTCTTTTCTTAAAACAAAAAAACAAAAAAAAAAACTTAATCTTTAAAGTAAATTTAACCTGTCTCAAAAAAAAATGTAAATTGTTTAACCTAAATTTCATAGCCTTTTCTGTTATATCTGCACTAATTGCAGAGAGAGAAAAAGAACAAATTCATTAAATTTACTTGACATTAATACTAAGTTGTTTTACATCCCTACTGCTTTAATTAATTAATTAATCAATTGTTAGATTTTTCTTAGTGAGTTTATTTATTAACAAGTAACAACCTCTCTCTTTAATTTTCATTTCAATGTTAATAATATTCGCTTCCAACTGATTTCTTCTTCTTTTTTTTTTTTCTTAGTTTTCATTTTAGGGTGTTCTCGTAAATGATTTATTTTTTCTATATAAAAAACAAATAATATTTTCTTCCTCTCCGAAACAAAGAATTTATGAATATTGATTTGAATGTATATAAAATAATTTATTAATAACCATATTGTTTTTTATTTTTTTAATTTAGGTTATAAACACTACTCTCAAAATTTTGTTCCTTTGTTTTGGTGCTACTTGTCAAATATATATTAAGCCAAAATTTTAGAACTTTAAAAAATACTTAAAAAAAATTAAGAAATAGATATAAATTTTAAAGAGATACAGTGAAAAACTAAAAACTCAATTATTTAAGCCTCGTTTTAATCATGTTTTTCTTTGGTATGTTTTCATCTTTCTTGAACGTACATTTGAGTTTGAACTTAACAAATTTTTAAAAATTACGCCCCATTTGATAATTACTTATTTTTAGTTTTCTATTTTGAAAATCTCACAATTTTCTTTAATATGTTTTAACGCTTTTAAAAAACATATTTGAACTCTTAATCAAATTTCAAAAATAAAAATATATTTTTGAAACTACTTTTTCTTTACTTATCAATTTAACTTAAATTTTTAAAAACTCTTTAATATGTTTTAACGCTTTTAAAAAACATAGTTGAACTCTTAATCAAATTTCAAAAACAAAAATATATTTTTGAAAACTAATTTTTCTTTATTTATCAATTTAACTTAAATTTTGAAAAATGTTTTTAAAAAATAGATGCAAAACAGAAAGGAGTGTTTCTGATATACTCTTAAAAATAGAAAACCAGAAACAAAATTGTTAGCAAATATGACTTACTTTTTTTAGTTTTCAAATTTCAGATTTTAGTCTACATTTTAAAGCATTTTGAAAAAGTTCATGCAAAACAAAAACACGGGACATTGGAACAATCAAGTCTTTGGGATGAGATGCCCACGTGTGAGGAATTCTAGTCTTTCTTCATTAATAGGCTGGCTACACAAATAAGGTGTGCAACAAAATATACAGTGAAAGCAGTGTTTACTAACTTTATTATTAAAAAAAAAAACATGGTTATTAAGTGGAGCCTAATTTTGGTTTACAACCAGAGCTAAAAGTTAAAAAAAAAAAGAACTTAACAACAAAGGTTAAAGACAATTCGAAAGTGTCTCTTACCGATCTTTATTATAATTATATACTTATATCCGTAGAAATTCAAACATTCGACCTCTAAGAAAAGGTACAAATGACTTGACCATGAATCCTGAACCTATCTTATTAGAATGTAGTGAAACTGATAACAACTATTTATAAACTTGGTTTGTGAGCTGTGTAGTGTGTATTAGAATTTAGAATACAAACTCAGTACCTGCGGAAGCAGCTCATTCCGGTGGGGCTGTCTAAGCTTGGCTCATATTACAACTTGCTGATCTTAACAGGCCCCATCTCCTTAGCCTTCGCTCTCAGCAGATGCTTTTGAACCTTCCCAGTTGCGGTTTTTGGTAGATCCCCAAATACCACAGATTTTGGGACCCAGTAAGCTGGCATCTTGGACTTACAAAACTTCATAATATCCTCAGCCATCCGCTGCTCATCTGCCTTATCTACCTTCGACTTCAACGTCACGAAAGCACAAGGAGATTCTCCCCACCGCTCGTCTGCCCTTGCGACAACCGATGCCTCCAGTATTGCTGGGTGCTGGTAGAGAAAGTTCTCTATCTCCACACTGCTAATGTTCTCGCCTCCAGAAATGATGATATCCTTTGATCTGTCTTTCACTTCGATATAACCGTCGGGATGCTTCACGCCGAGGTCACCGGAGTGAAACCACCCATTTGCGAAGGTTTCTTTGTTCGCTTCGGGGTTCTTTAAGTAACCTTTCATGACAGCATTCCCACGCATTACGATCTCTCCGACAGTTTTTCCATCAGATGGAATGGGTTGCATTGTTTGGGTGTTCACAACTTCTAGACCCTCCAACGCAACGTACCGTACACCTTGACGAGCGTTCATTCGCGCTTGGGTTTCTGGAGGCAATGAGTCCCACTCTGGCTTCCATGCACATACTGTAGAGGGGCCATAAGTTTCAGATAGGCCGTAGGTGTGGGTGATCCGGAAGCCCTTCTGTGCCATGGCGTATAATACAGCAGGCGGTGGAGCAGCTCCTGCTGTCATTACATGGACAACATGAGGAAGGGGAAGGATAGTATCTTCTTGAGGGGCATTAACAATGGTATTAAGAACCACAGGTGCAGCACAAAAGTGTGTTACTTTATGTTTCGCTATGGCTGAATAAACTGCCTTAGCTGTAACCTGTACCAATGACCGAAAAGAAAAACTTGCTGTCAAGAAGAATCATATAACATGGGCAATGTTCTACAGTAATTAGAAGCCAGGAAAATAACTTTCTGGTGATATTACACTAGAAAGCCATAAAAACATGCCATCGTTGAATTTCTCAAGGGAAAGGAGCTCTATTGAAAAGTATCCAATAGTATAGTAAAGCATTTGAAAAATTGAAAAGAGCTTTATTGCCTGATGATGAGCCATGAAAATGATGCCCTCCCGCAAAGTGGAGCTCATTGCATCACAGCGTCATGGAATGAATTGAGTTCATAAGAATCTTCCATTTTAATTTCCAAAACCTTTTTAATGTTTCTGTTTCTATTCGATCTATTATCGTTTGGATTTATCATACTAGGAACTATTCAATAAACAGCAAAAAAAATTCTTGTTGATACCTGTCGGAGGCATATACTTGTCCCGCAGAGAGCAGCCAGTGCCCACGTGTAACACCAACCATTGCAATGGAACATTGGCAGAGTCCAAAGATATATAGCTCCCTCATTCATCCCCCACACCAGGCCTGCACTCAAAGACATGACATATGCCCCTCGGTGGCTCAAAACCACCCCTTTAGGACTTGCAGTTGTACCAGATGTATAGCCAAGAGTAATGCTCTGCCATTCATCCTCTGGTGGTTTCCAAGCATACTCAGGATTACCCATTTCCAGGAATTTCTCGTATTCAATGGCCCCTTTGGATAAAGCATATTTCAGTGCCTCCGGATCGCAGTTTTCATCACCAATAACAATTAGAAGTGGCTTGTAATGGCTATGGCCTTTTTCAGCTAGGAGTTTCAAAGCTTCTTCTGCTAAGGGAAAAAACTCTTGATCCACCATTACAACTGCAGATGATGAGTGGCCGAGAAGAAAAGAAATTGTTGGTGCATTTAGACGTATATTAACACAATTCAGAACAGCTCCAGACATGGGAACTCCAAAATGAGCTTCATAGATAGCTGGGATATTCGGTGCAATTACTGCAACCTAAATGCAACATCAAGAAACCAATCGTTGTTTTATACAGTTAACATCAGTAACTTGCCTAGATAAGTACATATCGGAAAGATCACAAAACTCCCAGGATTATGCCCAAGAAAAGTTGATCTTCAAGCAATTTAATCGACTCTGCTCTCAAAGCACCGTGTCATAACTGGAATGTGCAATTTCCTAAAGTCAAAGTGAGAGCTCAAAGGAACATACGTGGAAAGTCATAGACTATTTTGTAACATGATCGTTGTATGATGAATTTCTGGAATTATTAACAAGATTACAGCCATTTCGAAGCATTACAGCCTGAAAAAAAGTTGAGTTATCGAATATTAGGAGCCAAAAAATCCCACGCCCACGCTTGTATGTTCAATTCAAGCCTATAAAGAATAAACCTTACTGTTTTTCGTTCCACATCATAAAGTAAGCTGCATGACAAGACCAAGACTAAAATCCGACCAATACTTCCCTAAAAAGCCAATTATATAATCGTCACTTTATGCTAGAAACGAGCCTAATGCGATTTTCTCCTCCATACTCAAGTTGACTTTTATCATCAAGAAGCAAACCGCACAAAAACTAATCCGTCCAACAATTACTTTCCACACACCGATTTGGCTATTTTACCGATAAAACCCAAGGCCAGTCTGAAGGATTACTCTCAGCGACGACAGTTAACCACCGGCAAAAATGATAAAAAATAAAAATAAATAAATAAATATACCGTGTGTCCAGCGCCGATGGAATGGTGCGAAAGAGCAGATGCCAGACGGCGGCACCGGCGGTAAGTCTGGAGCCAGGTGTAGCGGCGAGATCCATGAACGACCGATAATCTGGAAGGATGAACCAAGGCAGCTCTCTCGAGGAACCACAGCGGCGTTAAGGCCGTGTAGTTTGCTTCGTTCTTCGGCAGATCGTCTATATCTCCGGCTCCGGCTCCGGCTCCGGCCATCACTCGGCAATCGAGTTCCTCTCTCTCTCTCTCTCTCTCTCTCTCTCTCTCTCTCTCTTATTTTTTTCCTCTCTCTCTAGCAACAAATGTCAGGCGCTGATACAGTGAGAGAAAGCGGTCGAGCCGAGAGTTTATATAGCACCGGAGCTGTAGAGAGAGAAGCCATCGGACGGCTGCAGACGGTCCAGACGTTTTGAGTCTGTGATTGATCAGACTTTTTTCTTTTACTGCCCAATTCCCAGGAGTGATAAATTTTTTATTTTGTAAGCAACACCATAAATATTATCTTATTTTAAATCAGTTGTTTATTTTTTATTTACACCTCTATAAAACATGTTGTACCAAAAATAAAAACAAAATAGGAAATGTTTAAATTCCTGTAACATGTTGGATTCGAATTCATTATCTTTTGATCGAAGATAGGTAACTTAACTTGTCGAACTAGTTTCATGTTAGTCCAATCCTCGTTAACTTAATTTCAAATGCAAGTTTTTTCCGTTAACTTTTAATATTTGTATTTTTAAAAGATTCTAATAAATTTTTGAAATGACATTCTAAAAAGTAGCTATATTTAAAAAAATCTTTTATATATTTTTTTTAAGTACAATAGGTAGGGTGAGAGATCGAACTCACAACTTTTTAATTATAGATATATGTTAGTTGATTTTTGGACGAGTCAGACAAACATATAGACTTATTATAATATTTTAAAATACAAATAAGTTTTTAAAATACACACGTCGAAATTAATAATTTAATATAGCTTTTATTTAGTTTCAAACTTGATGTATTAGTCTTGAAAATTTAGAAATTCATTAAATTGCAAAAATACATTTGTTTAAAAAACTCCTTCAATTATGTTCAATAATACTCTTGACATTTCATAAACGTTTTAAAAATACATATTGATCAAACATTTGTCAATATTTTAAATAGAAAGTTGACCTAACAACATATGGAACGACGTGACAATTAAATCCCCAAATTTACTCTAAAAATATTTTTTCTCCATTTTCAAAAGTTTGCTTCTCCGTTTTACCTTAGTTCTTGCATAATCTTCATTTTAAGAGCAAACTTATTTCATGTTTGCCATTTTCCGGACTTACTCTAAGTGAGCTTCCACATAATTATCACATCATCCCAATTTCTTATGCACTAATTTTTTTGTTCAAAATATCACCTGATGTTTATTTAAATGTGATAAAAATATTTAAAATTTTAAATTAGGAGTGTTTTTTTAAACAAATGATAAAATTGAAAGGTCGTTTTGTGTGTGTGTGTGTGTGTGTGTGTGTGTGTAATTTAGCCATTAAAATTAAATCATCTATGAAATAAAACCATTAATTTTGTTGAAATAAATGGCAGGCGGCTCTTCCATGGCTCATGTCTTTTCGACATATCCATATGGTCCATGGGAGTTGTATTAATTTAATTGCCAATTTGTATTTCTCGACTCGATGGTGACGTCATGCCACTAGGTTTCCAATTATTTAAATTTTTTGTCCTATAAATCCTAACCACTTATTACCCGATTGTTTGTATTACAAAATATTCCTTTAAATATAGTTTTATCGAATTTATCGTGGTTTCTTCTTTTTAATTTTGATTTCTCAAGAGGCAGTAGAATTTTAAATTAAACAAGTCTATAATTTTTTTTTTCCATTTTTGATGTAGAAATTTGGATTCTTATGCAAAGGAGTTCTTTTCTAAAACGTTCTCAAAATAATTGTCTGGTATATATATTTTTTCCCTAGAGCAATTTATGGTCTATAGCACATATTAAAATAACTTTAAAATTTTTTCACAATATCACTGTTACAATTTACTCTTTTCTTTTTAAGAAATTTAAGGGGACCATTCAAATATTTGTAAATATAACAACAAGATTATGATTTGACAATATTTTTAAATATTTTTCGTATCTATTTATATGTTTTTTATATAATTTATGTTTTATCCTCGTATATCACTTATTTTACTCGTGATATGTACCATATAATCACAAAGTTATTTTAGTATTTTTGGTGGATGAGGTTTGGATTTTTTTTTCTTGCTATATTTAGAAAGCTAGAAGGGACAAATTTGTATCTTCTTAAATATGTGTCGTTGTATTTAAGATAATTTGATTCTTCTTAAATATGTCCTGTGACTTTATATTCTTTTAGTAGAAAAGTTTAAAAAAATCTATATCAATAATAATAAAAAAAAATGTTCCCAATACAGGAAAAATGACAAATTTAAAAAGCTTGAAATACACTTTCGTTGAACAAGAAAGAGATTCACGGGTCACATAAATATTTTTTGAGTTTTGTTCAAAATTATTTTTAAAATTGTGATTATGTTGTACATAAAAATTTATGTTATTTTTCCGTCAATTCGAACCTAACTCAAGCAAATCAAATTCCCAAACACCATTTCAAATGTTGATGATGTGATTCTATTCTATAATTATTAAACACAAACAAAAATTTACTATTTTATAAAGAACTTTTATTATATATAGAAGAAAAAATAATTTGTGAGTTTTTACGACATCTATATTCAGTTTGTGAGTTTTATTTTATTTTTATATTAGAGATATATATCTGATTCTACTATATTTAATTGTCAATAAAATTCGTAAGATATTAAATTTTAGGTAATTTTAAATTTGTCCAAAATAATCAGATTCCTAGCATTAGGTTTTTGTAGCTACATATAAGTCTGTAAGTAATGGTACGCTCTTTATTCATTTAATAAAATCATTTAATATCCAATACAACGTTGAAAATAGGTGGGACCCAGATAAAATGTAGATATATTCCCAAATATGGTATTTAACCAACTATACATAACAATTATCCAAAGTCTTCCCAAAAAAAACACACACACACCTCAATCAAAAAGATTATTTATTAAAAATTAAAATTGAATATTTGAATATTTTAAAATTAAATTAAATTAATAGATAAATAGTTCAGAAGGTTACGCAATTGATAAAATCCTTACCTTGTGGACTAATTCAAATTGGCCCCTCCAATTTGACTTCAAAATTTATACATTTTTCCGTCAGATTCAATTAATTTAATCACTCTGGTGGTTAACTATTTGGTTTTTAATTATATTTTTGAAAACTGTGCTGATTTACTTATAATTTATTTAATCCGTTTTCACCTTTTTTTATCAACATATTTTGAATTTTCAACCAAATTTAAAAAATAAAAAACTACTTTTTTAATTCTAAAGATCTAGCTTAAATTTTGAAAATGTTTTAAAATATATAACAAAGCAAATAAACCTATAACTAAAACTAGTGTTTATAAGCTAAAATTTCAAAACAAAATTTAAAAAACAAAAAGAAACATGATTATATATTCATTTTTATCCCAAAAAGGGTAAGAGCGATATTAAAAATTCACCGAATAATCTCGGCATTCAAAAGTAGAAACAAAAAAACGAAAACAAAAACGAAAACGAATGGAAATGTCGCAATGGCCAAAAATCCCACTTGTGTTTGACTTTTGAGAGAAATTTATCCACTTCTTTGTAAATTATTTTTATTGTTTTTATAATCTAATATTAATAAATATTTTTTAGTACAAATATTAAAAAATATTTTAAAAGTAAATAATAGTGATTGTTCACGATTTTTTAATATTATTGTTTTCTGAACTCAAATTTGAAAATATATTAATTACGAAACTTGTTTTTCAAATACCGTAGTTTTGTTTAGGTGGATGCAAAATCGTCTTTTCAAAATTACACGTGTCACGATGTTCATTAAATGATGTGGCAAAAATTTGTCATGGTGGTCACAGTTCTAACTCATCATCCAAGAATTATTGTGTATAAAGTTTTAATGTATAATGTTCATATAATTATTTTTAAAATAATTAAAATTTGAATAAGTATTATTTATTTAGACGTTCTCTTCTTCCTTAAAATAAAATAATTACTATCTAGAAAATTCATATAATTGTGTTATTTGTGGGTAAAAGTAACAGCATCAACTTAAGAATTTCGAATTACACGAATGAATATTGAGGGGACGAGCTTTCTACATATCCAGAAAGGATCGTGAAAATTTAAAAGACACTTAGAATATGTTTATAAAGTTACTATTATATATTAGGATTTTTTTAAAGTTATTATTATATATGTTAAAAAAAAAGCTGAAATTTCTTATATCTCATAGGTTTCAGCTCAAAATGAACAATTCAGGTGAAGAAATACACAGTATAAAATGCAATTTATATATATCTGTATCTACTGCTCAAATGGTTCACATTCCAAACTTAGAAGAACACATTAATTAATAGAACACAGAAATACAAATGAAAAACATCAAAATTTGTAACAACAAACAGAAGGGAAAATCATCATCATTTCGATATATATACACAGTGGGAACACACGGAATATATATCTTCTCTACTTTCTTTCCCTTCAATTCAATAGCTTTATACAACCTCGACCCAAATCATCGCGAGCTTCCACCAATCCAATTATTCATAATTTTTCAAGAATGAGTACACAACGACGAAGACGAAGCTCAAGACGAGGACGATGAGGACAACGTCGATGACGACTCGAATGGTTCCTGCTCCGCGCAGCTGAGGACCTCGTGGGGTCCGGCTTCTTCCCGGCCGACGCCCATGAGGTCGAGGTAATGCAAGTAATGGGAGATGGCATTGTTCATGGAGTCAACTTCACCCTGGCCACAGGCAGAATCGCCATAGAGGACGTTGATGGTGGTGCCAAAGCCAGGGACTCGCTTGGCGAGCGTGTCGTTCTTGGTGGGTTTCCATTTGCCTACGAACACATCATGGGCTGAGGGCAGGTTCTTCTTCGCTGGGGTCATCCACCTCCAAATTGCAGCCTCAAATGCTATAGTCGCATTGTCTTCAATGTACTCTGGGTGGTTCAACAGATCAATTTTCAAGGCCTCGCCTGTCTTTCCATAGTTGTAGTTCCTGACATGGGAAAAGCCACCACACTCACCCCACACTCATTCCATCAAGCTTCTAACTACAAATTTAGTCTATAATAACTGGAAAATTGGTTGTCACACCGATATATCATTTTTCTACTATCCATAAACTTGCATTGACACACCTATTATAAAAGTTATCATTTATGCGATAAAGAATATTACTGATATACCATTTTTGTATAATCAATAAAGTAATAATATACTAATATAAAGTACACCACTGATGCACTATTTTTGTATAATTAATTTTGTATCATTGATAACGTCCACTATTGATATACTAATATAAAGTATATCACTAATATTCTATTTTTGTATCATTAGCAAAGTGGATACCACCGCTAAATCTATGAAGTATATTACTAATATACAAGTTTTTATATTTACGTCATTTTTACAACATATCCTATCATGCAACAAATTTACAATTATTTAAGCTAAATTTACTATTATCACAAAAACCCTATACCAAAGTCATATTTTTCAAGACATGTTTGGGAGTGATTTTGGTATAACCAATAATGACTTTTGTCCTTTCTTAAAACACTTGTATATAATTGTCAAACAATGGGGCATAATTAGGATGGTGATTGCCAAAATCAAAATCAATCCCATTTAAAATAGCAATGTTTGACAATAATATACCGATGAGTTTAGAAAATGGTAAAAGTAATTTTCACCATGCCAATATCTCTCAAACATTTATGCCGTCATTATAACATCATTAGATAACCAATGATATGATTTACCTATACCCTCCACTGAATAAAAGTTGTTTGAGTTCATTAGAGGTCGCAGACAAGGTGGTAGACAGATGTCAAGAGAAGGGAGAATAAAATGAAATTATATTAAAATTTCATGTTGGTCCCTATATGTTGGTACTTGTTATATTTTAATTTTTATGTAACTAAATGTTAGAATTTAGTCTCTCCACTTGCAATAAATCTTAAAAATTGCTCTCAAAAACCTCAAAAACTAATGATGTCATTTCTTGAATGGGAGTTGGAGTTAATTATTATTAATTCTTTTTAAGCCAAATGTAAATTAACCTCAAACTAAAAGATGAAACTATTTTGAATGTAGGTATAGAGACAAAAATAATACTCTAACCAACCCTTCTCACTTCTTGAAGTAACTTATGTCAGCTCTATTTTCACCATTCTTTTAGTGTTAAGAAGGATTGGAGATTCAAACATCACAACTTTCAGTAAGCTCAATGATTAGATGACTTTCTGTAACTATGAAATCAAAATTCAAGTTGAAAACACAACCAATGAACTGATGAAAGGGCAGGATAGGATATAATTCAGTAATTGAAACTTTCATCAAACACTTGGCGTGCTTAAAATGGAACAGGGTTAAGATAACTGATGATGATGAATGAGCAGATGCAGACATACCAGTAGATGGGCAAGGCACCGCGGCCATGGTAAGAAACTCCAGGAGTACAGGGATAAGTGAGCTTGAAATACTCATCACAGTACAATTTATCAGGGCTCAGCTCCTTGTTGTAGCACAGTCCCCATGCCAATGGACCTCCCGTCGCCACTCCATATCCGCCTGAAACATTCAATAAATTTCCCCCAATAAGCACACACGCACAGAGATAGAGGAAGAAGAAGAAGAAGAAAGAAGAAGGTTACATTACATGTGGTTTTGCTCCCAACATGACCTAGAAAAGCAGCGATTTCCTTCATCCCCTGAAGCTTCCCTCCGGTGGTACCGAATCCATGCGGCTGGAACGAAGCAGCCGCCGTAATGAAGGATCGGTAGTCCCAGAACCCAGCGGCGTGGGCCACCGGCGAGTTCCGCTTGGCGAACAGATTCTCAAATTGATATGTCTGAAAGTAATCGGAAATGGTATGATTACAGCAATACTCGGACCAGCCCTTACACTCCCACCCTTTGTCGCACAGCTTCTTCCCCTTCACGACCTTCACCAATGGCTTGACGGAGGATTCGGAATCCGGATCCGATTGGGCTCCGGTGACGGCGAGAAGCAGAACCAGAAGCCAGAGGCAGTTGGATTCCATGGCGATGCGTGAAGAAATGGGGGAGAGAGGGTAGGGATTTAAAATGGGAATGGGGAAATTGCTTCATTTGAGAGGGAAAGGGATGGAAAATGAAAGTACAGCTTGGTTAGGAGGGGGAGAATTTTCAGAGTTGGAGGAGAAACAGTGTTGCTGCAAACTTTTTTCTTACTCTGTTTCTTCTCCCAACTTTGAGTGATTTGCAAGCAATGTAAACTTTAAATTGGAGGAATATTGCTTGTGCTGTTGAATCTACTACAACCTGCAAATTTGGAATTTTCTTTTCTTTTCTTTTCCCCGAAAATGTGGTGGGTTGATTGAAACTCAATGGCAGGCCCAACCCAGAAGAAAATTAAGTACACGCTGGTTTGAGTAGATAATATTTTTCAAACAAATCAATACAAATTGGAAAATATTTCTTTTTGTTTTTGTTAATTCTCAATTTTATCTATTCTATTTTTAAAAATTTTAATTAAGTCGAGAACATTTAAAATTGATTAAAAATATTAGACCTATCATTAAATTATTATTTTATTAACATATTTGATTTGCATAATATGCTATGCTACTTGACATATGAATCTTATCTGTCTCAAGCTCATAAACAAAAATTTATTAGATAAGAGTTTTAGCTTATTCCATTTAAATACATTTTATTTATTTTATCCTTTTTGGACCAATAAGTAATCAACTAGTAATCAGTATTAAGTAATCAACTAGTAATCAGTATGGGAGAAAATGAGAAAATGAGAGATAAGAGTTTATTAACTTCATATTCAACTTGCTCCCTACTTTTGGGTCAGGTCCTACTTTTTTCACACTCCTAGGTAGAGGAGAGGGTCCGAGCTCAAAATTGACCTTGGTGCTTTATCATTTTGTTGCATCGTTTAACGAGATCAACGATTGACTCGAGGTGCGCCACCTCGATACCTCCCAATCATTACGACACCCCCTTGTTTTCCTGACCATTTGTTCGGGAGGCGTATGAATCAATAAATAGGGGTCTTGATATATTTATTTTGCACCTTCAATTCCTTCTTTCCATTCGTTCTGCCTCAAAACCCTAACTTTTTCTCTTTCCTTGTTGTTTCTCTGTCAAAAGTTATGTTGACCCTTCATACTTCTATCTGGTGAATTCAAATTCTTTTTGTCAAAGTTGGTGATTACAACCTTTTGGACCCATACAATAACTTCACCGCCGTGGTTGAGTTATTCGATGTTTTGTTTACTGTCTTCTTCACATATGATGTGTCAGTTTACCACTCAACAATTGGCCTCTATAGACTTACCCATACATCTTCATACGAATTGTCATATCCCAGGATGATGCTTATCCCATAAAGTATCGTCAAATCTACATTCATGACACTACATGAAATTCTGAATTACGTAGAATCGAAGTCACGAAGATGTTCATTCCACTGATTTCTGTAATCCAGCAAACGGTTGCCTCCACTTTAGAACTTGACTTTCATTTTCCAACATAATTAAATTTTCTTTAATCCATCCGAAATAATTTTTTTCTTCAAGCATCATTTCCTCCGTAGTTGTTTGGATGTTCAAGTCTCTTGGCAACACTGCAATCATTTGCTTCATCCTAGAATTAACCAAAATTGTGGTCTCTTTCCCCAAGTAAATCATGCAAAGTCAATTGCGAGTTGCTTGAACTAGATTGAGGGAGGAAATGATCATTAAATTTTTGAATCCGAACAAACCATGAGCCACAAAGTTATTAGCCCGACCATAAAATTTCACTGAGTAAGGAAAATAAAATTTTCTTCAATAATTGAAATAAGGTGGGTAATATTACATTTATTATAAAAAAAAAGTGTAATATTACATAGAGTTACGACTCATACTTTCTAAGTCAATTTCATGTAGGCCGAGTTGACCTAAGGATTATGAGACACTATTTGAATTTATAGTTCATAGATTGGTAATATTACATTATAAAATGTTCTTATACATTTTTTCTAAGTCAATTTGATGTAGGCCGAGTTGGCCTAAGGATTATGAGACACTATTTGAATTTATAGTTCATAGATTGGTAATATTACATTATAAAATGTTCTTATACATTTTTTAAATCAGATTATATATATGTGGTTCAAAAGTGACCTTGGTCTAGCCTACTGTTCTGGTGTTTAGAGTGGCGCGATTTCAATTCTTAATGGTGCTTTATCATTTTGTTGCATCGTGAAGTTTCACGAGCTTGACTCGAGGTGCGTAGCCTCGAGATCTCCCAATCATTATGACTCAACTTACCCGCTGTTTCTGTGACAAGGGGAGGCCTCCAAACTAGGCCTTGGTATACTTATTTCGTACCTTAAATTCCTTATTTCCCTTGTCTTTTCACTTTGACTTCGAACCCTAACTTTTTTCTTTGCCCATCGTGACACATTAAACTTTAAATCTGTATAATCTTGCAAATTTCATTGATCCGTTTATCGCTCTAAGTAGCACTGACTCATTCAAAATTTTTCCACCAAGGTTGGTTATTGCAGTTTCACACCCATGCAATAACTTCATCACAACCTTGGAGTGTTTTGATGTATTGATGATTGTATTCTCCGCGTATATGATGTTACCATTCAATAATTGACCTCTACATGATACTTACGCATATATTTTCATATCACTGTTACCTGACGATGTTCGTCCTATAAAAGATGATGCTCATCCCATAAAGTATCAAAAAATTCACCTTCATATTTATGATGTCGCATGAAGCCTTGAATTTAGAATTAGAGATGTCAATTCAGATGATGTGACCCAATTTAGTTGTGATGAGTTCGTAGCAATTGATGCAGACATAATGAGAAAAAATGTATAAATGTGTGATGTCTGCAATCTTGCAACCCTTAGCATGATTGCCTCCACTTCAAAAGTTAGCTTTCATTTTCCAACTCTGGTACAAGAGAATTGCATAAGATTATCCTCTTGGTGAGAGGTTGATGGCCTACTGAAATTTTCTCTAACTCTCAATCCGATAGAATTCTTCCGTCGGACATTATTTCTCTCCACAGTTGCTTGGATCTTCAAGTTTCTCGACAACACTGCACTCCTTTTGCTTTGCCAAAAAATGGACCAAAAATATGGTTTCTTTTCTAGGAAGTCCGCCAAAATCAATTGCTAGTTTCTAAGCTAGTTTCGGTAGGGAACGGTCACGAATTTCTTAATTCGACCGAACCGTGGGCCACAAAGTTACCATACGTAGAGCAATGTTGAGCCATGTTTTTCTTTAAAAAAAAAACTTCATATTTAACTATCGGTCCAATAAAAATAATATAAAATAAAATATAAAAATCACTCCGCACATGAAATGTCCTTCAATAATTGAGATAAGGGGGTAAATTACATTCTTAGTAATATTACACATACTTCCTAAGTATGGCAAATTTTATTGATCTGGTTATTGCTCTAAGTAGCACTGAGTTCATTGACTTGTTTATCACTCTAAGTATCACTAGGACATTCAAATTCTTTCCACCAAGGTCGGCGATTGCAGTTTCAGACCCATGCTATAACTTCGACACACACGTGGAGTTCTTTGATGTATAATTCACTGTCTTCTCCGCGTATGATGTTTATTCAGCTTGTCGGATGATGTGACCCAATTTAGCTGTGATGAGTTCGTAGTTATTGATGCAAGAATAATGAGAAAAAATGTATTATACGTGTGATGTCTGCAATCTTGCAACCGTCAGCATGGTTGACTCCACTTCATAAGTTAGCTTTCATTTTCCAACGCTGATATAAGAGAATTGCATCAGATTATTCTTGTTGTGAAGGGAATAGGTCGCTTGGTGGGAGGTTTTGATGGCCTAATGAAATTTTCTATAACAATCCATCCGAAAGAATTCTTATGTCGGGCATCATTTCTCTCCACAGTTGTTTGGATCTTAAAGTCTCTCGACAACACTGCAATCATTTGCTTTGTCGAAGAATGGACCAAAATTGTGGTCTCTTTTCTAGGGAAAGCCTGCAAAATCAATTGCTAGTTTATGAGCTAGTGTCAACGGGGAACGATCATGAAATTTTTGAATTCTACTGAACCGTGGGCCACAAAGTTATATACCATGGAGCAATGTCGAGCCATATTTTTCTTTAAAAAAAAACTTCACATTTAACTCTCCGTCCAATAAAAAAAATACAAAATAAAATATAAAAAACACTCCAACGTAAGGAAAATAAAATTTCCTTAATAATAGAGATAAGGTGGGTACTATTACCTTCTTAAAAAAACAAAATAATATTACACAATTATGTTCGTACTGCCCTAACAGTCCTAGAGGTCAACATAAGTTATATTGACCCTTCAAACTTTAGATTTGTATAGTCTGACAAATTTCATTGACCCATTTATCACTCTAAGTAGCACTGAGGCATTCAAATTCTTTCCACCAAAGTTGCTGATTGCAGTTTCAAACTCATGCAATAACTTCACCGCAACCGTGGAGTTTTTGATGTACTGTTCACTATCTTCTTCGCATATGATATTGCCATTAAACAATTGACCTCTATAGGATACTTGAGCGTATATTTTCATACAACTGTGTTTGTCCCATAAAAGATGATGCTCATCCCATAAAGTATCGACAAATTTACCTTCATATTTATTACCATGCATGAAAACCTGAATTTAGAATTAGAGATATTCATTGAACAGGTCGGATGATGTGACCCAATTTAGCTCAATGAGTTCTTAGCTATTGATGCAGACATAATGAGAAAAAAATGTAAAAATGCGTGATGTTTGCAATCTTTCAACCGTGAGCATGGTTGCCTCCACTTCAGAAGTTAGATTTCATTTTCCAACGTTGGTACAAGAGAATTGCATTAGATTATTCTTGTTGTGAAGGGAATAGGTTGCTTGGTGAGAGGTTTTGATGACCTAATGAAATTTTCTCTAACTCTCCATCCGAAAGATATCTTCGTTGTTTGGATCTTCAAGTATCTCGACAACAATGCAATCATTTGCTTTGTTAAAGAACGGACCTAAATTGTGGTCTCTTTTCTAGGGAAGTCAATGTCGAGGCATGTTTTATTTTAAAAAAAAATCTTCATATTTAACTCTCGGTCCAATAAATAAAATACAAAATAAAATATAAAAAACACCCCACAGATGAGTAAGGAAAATAAAATTTCCTTCAATAATTGAGATAAG